AAGCAGTCACTGCAGGGTCAGCAATGACTGAGCGCAGACAAAAATAAATAAATAAATAAATCACTGTAACCACGTGCCATTTCCTGTAGAACACCTTGAGACTTTACCTGTCCAAAGTATACTGCCTGGCTGTCTGCATACAGAACTCAGCAGCACCCAGTGCTCCCCAGGAGATGCCATAACGTGCATTATTCAAGCAGCCAAAAGGTCCCTGTGGAAAGAGAAAGACATTACGATTCAGAGAAGGAATTTATTGATACCATATTTCCTTCAATTCCAAACAAACATTGACTCCCAAAGATCATCCACATGATTCACATCCGCCTTCTACTTACTAGCTACACTATTCAGTCCGTGCAAGCTTACACAGGGGAGTGCCCTAAAGTCTGTTTCACATATTAAGTCCCTTTTAAAATAATGTCACATATCCCTCTGCCTGAAATTAGCATTTGATACAGTTATTTTATAGCAGGTTGTTTAAAGACAGGACCTCATAATATAAACAAATATGGAATACTACATTTATATTTGTTCCTTAGTTGTACCATTTATTGTTGCAATGCAATTTACACATTCTTAATGAAATAAACAGCAAATCTTATAGCTAGATTTGAACTCAAAGCTTGAACTCAAAACGTATTTTCAATCCCTCTCAACATCCCTTGACAGTAAACTAGGGCTAGCACCTCTTGTAGCATTCTTGGTCACTGCACCATTCACACACAGTAGTCCCATTGCACAGAGTCAATGCCAATGAGTATCACATGGATTGGAGGGATCTTACTGCGAGTCCAGACACTTTGGGTAGTAGATTCTCTTCAGGCACTTCTACATCTTCCATAATAATCATCCCAGTAATAGAAGCCCGTAGGGAAAATTTGCCCTCAATCTTTGGGGTGGAAAGACCTTTCATCCCACGTTCCAATAGGAACCCTCGCACTTTGCCATCATCACATACAGCCCACACCACACACAGGTCAGCCATTGGAGAATTGGTGATCCTAAAAGAATAGCAAAGATATTGTCAATTGTTTGGTATGCTACCCAACACAGGCCTTAGAGAAGTCAAGCTAAAACTCAGGTGGCTAAAAATGAACACTCTAAGGGAGGAAATCCAGTGTGAAAACTATCTCTGGATAGTAGCAAAGCTTAGGTGGTATCTAATCTTCCAGGAATAAAATTTAGTTCAGTCCTGTTCCCTCAAATCTGTCACCACAATTATCAGGAGCTTAATCTTTTACCACTATTTCAAAATAATCCTAGTGGCCTAGGTTACTTCCCTATCCCAATCCCTGTATATTAAGATAAGTGCAAACCTCACCAGGTCTTGGAACCATTGAGTGTGTAGGTCTTCCTGGAAGGGTTGTATTGGGCCCGAGTCTCCATGCTACCAGGATCACTTCCATGGTTAGGCTCTGTAAGCCCAAAACAGCCCAGCAACTCTCCTTTAGCTATGGAGAAAAAGTCAAGAGATGAGTATAGCAATTCCCAAAGTACTCCTTCTCCCTTCTTCACAAGTCCTGTTGTTACTCACACAACTTCACAGGGGTAATTCTCTGAAGGACCCTAGTAGGCAAAAAATTTCACAGATTCTATCTACCCTTCTGGATTACGGTATTGTATTATTATTTACAGGGGAATTAGTGAGGTGGCTTCCTTGTTTTTAACATCCTTTTATTCTCTATTCTATTTTAATTTTTATATTTTTAATGTATTTACTGTTTTTAGCTTTGTTGTACACCGCCCAGAGTCGCCTGTGGTGACATGGACAGCTATATAAATTGGTTTAATAAATAAATAAAATAAAGGGTGAGAAGTAATTTTTAAACCAATCAAACAGCTAAAGCTATCTTAATAAACAGTATGATCAAAAATCAGCAGAACCAAAAAGAGAAAATTGAAGCTGATTTGAACCAAACCAGAAGATAGAAGGAAAGTATTGGGAAACAGGGAAAGAAACAAAGAAGCAATTAACTAAAGCATGAAACTGAGGTATAAAAGAAGTAATAGGAAAACTGAAAAAATAAAATTGTTATTAGAATTAAAGAAAAGGTTTTTGTAAAAGCTCAACCAAATTCAAACTGGAAGATGAGGAGGAAATCTGGTAAAGACTTACTTAATTGTTTTTCGGAACAGTGGATGAGATACTATAAGTGTTAAAAGTGAAAATTGGTATAGATTTGAGATACTCAAGGAAACAAAAAAGCAATACCACTGTCTTCTATGTGAATAAAATAAAGGAGATAATTATAATTTGGTTCTTGTGAAAGTTCTGATTATTGTTGATTATTTCCAAAGTTTACAAATCAAAAGATTTGCAGTGAAACTGTAACTAGGGAATTTTCTGAAATACAAAAGATAGAATAAAAAATAGATAAAAGAGAGAAGAGGAGGATTTCTAGTGCATACTAGAAATCCCCTAAATACTTTTAAAAAATCAAATGTAAGAACATCAAGGTGATCTGATGAAGTACACGTTTTTAGGATGTACAGAATGCTGAGATGTCAGCTAGATGGATGGTAGAAGATAAAACTGGTTCTCTTCAGGATTAGGGCAAGTTTAAGTATGAAGTGAATGTGCATGTGTGTGTATGTGCAATAATGATAGCGCATACACCAGTGTTGATATAACTAAAGAGTAATCTTCCACATTCAGTCCTCTAACCTATTTACTCACCCAGGCGTGGCAAATATTTCTGCTTCTGCTCCTCTGTCCCATATGCATATATAGGATGCATCACCAAAGATGACTGAACACTCATGACTGACCGATAGCCACTGTCCACCCTCTCAATCTCCCTGGCCAGGAGTCCATATGCAACATAAGTGATCCCCGCACAGCCATAACCTAAGGCAAAAGAATGGAGAGTTAATCATAAACCCACCTGTGTCAATAAATCAGCGATAACCCTCTAAGATAATTATCCTGGAGGATTCTACCTCCCAAAGATTTATAAGGAAACAGGAAAATAAAGGGAATAATTTATTTTAGGAGAATGGTGCCCTAATACTCCAAGAAGCCTCAAAATTTATTTTAAAAAGCATCTTGCAGATATAAAGCAATTATTACATCTTCAACAGTCCCTAACGTGGACTAAAATCAAGTTTTACTAAGTCTCTAAAAATAATAATCTTAGTACTTCAAGTATGATAAATGATTGGCAGTTCCTAAACCTGGATTTTAAAATTTTGCATCCTATCAATCATCTTAAGAAAGAAAAGCTCTTTCAAGCTTTTCACAATTCATAGCAAAGCATTTAAAAACAAAATCAAACATTTAATTCTGTAAGATAAACCACAACCAGATCAGCAGCACAACCAAATCACATCATATTGTTACTTTTCCAAACACTCTATGAAAGAGCCAAAACTTCATAGCAAGAATTGCCACACACTTTACAGCAAATGGCTGTGGATGAATGGAGACATCCAAAACATACCTCCCATTATTCATTCATCCATTGATTTTAACTATATTTTCCCTTACAGGCCAACATAGCTAAATAATGGATAAACATTAAGTAACAAAACTGCAGATAAAATTCTGAAGTCACTGACTGAATACAGATGCAAACTAGCAGAAACTGATCAGTTGAATAGAAGAGTTATAAAAATACCTAGAATGTGGTGATGATGATTTATCAAAAACTTAAACTACAGCTGAAGTGGAGAATGATATATTGTGAACTTCTCCTCCCAAGAAACATGAAAAAGTTCTGGAAGATCCTTAATTTCTGCTGCAGAAGTAATGGGCCCACGCGCTGTCATGAAAAATGTTTCAACATTACCTTTGATGGTTGGGCCCAAGACACCAAGGGTCCCCATCTCTGACACAATTTCCCGATGAAAAACTAGAATGAAAATAGGAGAGAATAAAAGAGGATGGGAATGTCAGTTACAACATTGTAAGCAAAACCTATTGTAAGAAATATGCATTAAAATGTCTATATTTCCCGGAGGCTTAGTATGCAACATGGAGGCATGAGAAGAGGTAGTGCAGCTGCTTTCAAATTATTAACATATGGGACTAGTATAATGCCGATAAGTAACTTTTATAATTACTGCAACCCAAAAGCCAGCAATTATTTAATTTACATTAAAATCATTATTCCATCTTGATGACTTCCGGGGAAGCAATGACGGACTGAAGATGGCCCTGCAGAGAGCAGATCCGATGGCTGCGGTGGAAAGAGGAGCCAGTGAATAGATTGGCTCCTCGGAACTCCTCTCCAGATCAAGGAGAGGACTAGGATCACCCGCAAGTTTAATCCATACAGAGGCTCCCTGCGAAGAGATCATAGAATAGCAGTCTCTGGCAGGTTTTAGAGCTCTAGGAGCTGGGGGGAAATCATCTTGCCTAAGCTATGGTTTGGTGCCTTCAAAAGGACACTGGGTTCGCCTACTTCCTCTCTTCATCACCTTAGGAAATCGCTTGTTATTGACTTTTTGGATGTTAAGAACCTTCAGAAGGGCAAGTTTCACTATGCCAGGAGAGTTTCCTTCTATCCTTGATGAAAGAAGTTTCATGTAAGTTTATGGATTAAAAATATATTTTTTTATTTTTCAAAAACAGCAAAAG